AAACAAACAAACAAACAAACTTCCGGGAGCCTCTGTGTCTTCCCCGGGTATTGAATGGGTACGTCAGCTAATAACTAATGATTTTTTTTTTATACTCAGAACATAAAATACCAAGAGCTCTACGATTCTCGTCTCTGTCTAAGAACATTGAATAAAATCAGAAAATGTATAACGAACGTTTTTCAAATACAACTTAAAACCCGCACGTGAATTATAAACGGTTGATTTTAAGTATGTCGTACGTCTGCTTAAGCTGAATAATTGATCTATGTAGAATTCGTGTTGTTACTTTGTGGTTGATTAATGTTATGACCTCCCTTATGCCTGTCCTACCCTTCTTCTCGGTGGTTCAGCGGCCAGTCTGTAGGACATATAACGCTAAAAATCGGGTTTCGATACCCGCGATGGGCACATAGTGGAGCTTTGTGTTTAATAACAAACCTTTAAGCCATCAGATTAACTCATGCAGAGATGCCGCTACTATATCAAAAATATGCGCGCAAGGGGTTCTGGGGGTTGAGGAGAGGAAAGCCCTGTTGCGTCAGCGAGATCACGTGACTATTCTCACGCCCTCTGCTTTCTAGAACTATCCTGTACCTTGGCGAATGCTCTAGCATTTACTAGATATAGGGTAGTCTGGTATATAAAAGAGGGTGACAACGTGACAGAATAATGTGTGTGTGTAGGTAGTGAGTAATTGATCTGCAGTGAGAAAATATTGTTGAAGGTAACGTTCGTTATAGCGTTTGTTTTAGCGCGACTGTTGAAAATAAGTGTATCGGTAAAGTTATATTCAGAAAGAATAAACCAGTTTTATTAAGTAAGGACTTGTGTCGCTAAAGTTTCGTCGGAACGAAGTTACGGAAAGTTAATTAACAAACGGAGACGTAACAGCCCCATGGAAGATCCTGGGTTTTATGGTTTAGTGATCTTAAACTTTATCAAAAGAAACTTTATTGAACATTGGTTTATGTTTTTTGCTTTCTTTCCTTTGTGTTTTTAATACACACATAAACATACATGCCGTATTTGGTGACGATTGGTCCAGCGGTTCTCTAATAATAAGCTGACACACCTACAAATTTTTGTCAAATAATGTTTTAGATTTTTTTGCATCATTGAATTACATATGTATACGGAAATATTGATTCTATATAATGAGCCCGGCATCTCTGTAAAGAGTTAGTTAGAATATGCCATCTTCTTCCTTACTCTTCGCCTTCATTAACGGTAACACAATTATTATTTGTATTTATGGCAATAATACTAATTCTGTCTGCTGCTATATCAAAGTCTGTATTACCGACTTCAGGGAAAATGGCCAGTCAGCAGCGCCCTACCATTCACCAGCCACAGTAAGGGATTGTTTGTTTGTTTTTGAATTTCGCGCAAAGCTACACGAGGGCTATCTGCGCTAGCCGTCCCTAATTTAGCAGTGTAAGACTAGAGGGAAGGCAGCTAGTCATCACCACCCACCGCCAACTCTTGGGCTACTCTTTTACCAACGAATAGTGGGATTGACAGTCACATTATAACGCCCCCACGGCTGAAAGGGCGAGCATGTTTGGTGTGACAGGGATTCGAACCCGCGACCCTCAGATTGCGAGTCGAGTGCCTTAACCACCTGACAATGCCGGCCCACTGTAAGGGATTGACTGCCACATTTTTTTCACGCAACTGCAACTTAAAGTGCAAGGAATGTTTTGTGGCATCGCACGGATTCGAACCTAGCTCACCAACTACAGAATCCAGAGCTCTGCCATAGGGTTGACCAATTCCTGGTAGCATAAATAAGCCTCACGTCAACAATTATTAATAAGTTCATATATTTGGCCTTAAAAATTGACCAATGATCTTTTTTTGTATTAGATAACCTTTACTGTTATTTAATGTGTTCACTAAAACATCTAGAGAATTAGTGGTAAGTCTGATGTGAATATTTAATGTCTATGATATTTTTATTTCATTCAATACAGTAAACACTAGATGCGAGTATTTCTTTTTTTTTATGGTTTCTACGGCTACACGCTAGAAGAATTGTTTTTAGCACATTGTCTCCTCCCTCAAATTATGGAGTCCCGATGCATCACGTTTGTCAGTGCGCAGTCAGTGTCCCTAATTTTTATTTCGAACCACCGACGACAAAAAGGAAATTAGTCAGCAACAAATTACTGCTATTTTTATACATACGTTACTGAGCTATTTACTAATTCATTTATTTTTTACTTATTATTAGTATTAATATATATAACTCTTTTATACCAAATTCCTAATGTAAATATGAAATATGAGGGGATAACGCTTTTGATATAAATTAAAAAGTGGAGTTCAAGACTGCTAATCGCTGCTCGAAGCAAGCATCGCCTACCATCAATAACAGAAATTAATCAAAGTCAACTATTGTATTCTGAAAATAACTCGAAATTAGGCCTAATTAGAATATTTATAAAAAATTAACAAGACTATTAATATTTTTAACTACAGTCATTGAGAAAAAAGCTATATATGGGCTTAACTAAGCCAGTCAGATACTTCTCATCTTTTAAATTTAATTAAATATATATATAATTTTCTAGGAATATAATATATATTTATATTGTACGTTGAAGTGTACAATAAATTCA